ATCAATCGGAGGAGCCTCATAATCATTTAATTTTGGATAATATTTGTTTTGAATTAGCAATAGATTAACGTGCCTTTCTAATTTATTTTTTGTAAGTCTGGTTGGCACCACTGTATAATATGATTTTTCCTTGACTAAATTCAACTCTAATGTGTATACATTCACGGAAATGTTATTGTCTTTTTCAAATTTTGGAATTTGACGTAGAGACATGGGTGCATCTAAATCTACTGTTTTCAGAACTGTAGTGTAATATGGATATGAAGAAGTCCGTTCCCTATTTGTTTTCGCTGGGTAGAAGGCACTTATGATTGACCAATAGAAACATGTCGAGTCAGTATTTTTTATATTCAAACATGCTTGCTTTTTTGAAATTTGTTCTGGCAGTCTAATAAAGGATGAACCATTTCCCATTTCAAGTTTGTTAATATTAACTTCCATTGATATTATTTTATGCAAAGGCCACCCAGAGTCACGTTCTTGAAATTCGCTTTATTTATTCAAAATTTTGTCCTGAACATTATCATAGTACCAATGTTGTAAATCCGTTCCTACGTCCACAATGGCATTTTTAGTGTTGAAATATTTCAATTCGATAATTTCTGCATCGTCTGATTTCTTTATGAATTCTCCACAGAAATTAGCGTTCACTTTAATAATTGGAAATCCCTTCAATATATTTTTGATTTTATTTTTGAATAAAATGAATGCATCTATAAAAAATTGCTCCTCCTTATGTGTTATATTGATGATTATTCCCGTTCTGATTCTACTTGAAAAACCTGATGCCACATCTCTCCATTGAACCCTATTTTTCAACTCAAGCCCTCTACTGTCTCGATGTCTATTTCGAATTAAATTGCGAAAATGCTTAAAATGACCAACATTCGTTTGAAACTTTCTCATCAAGCCTATGGACATCTTATTCTTATTAATTTCATTGTTACATAATCTTATGTACCTCTTTAAGCGATTTAACCAAATTTTTTCATCCCTATCAGTGAAATTATCAAACAAAATTTTCTTTAGTTTCCTAATGGCTATCAGTAAGTTATCTGATTGTTTAGCGATATTCATCTTTACAAATGTATCTTGCGAAAAGTGACAAAGTAAAATGACTCACACTCTGATTCTCAATAGCTTATGATGTTGGTGATTGAGGTGCTGTTTCCACAATTTCAAACTGCTCGATAGGATGGAGTTGGCCGCATTTTTTTCGTCCCTTGTAGATGAGGGCGTACTTGTTTTGGATAAACTGCTCCACCGCAGGTTTGATGGCTTGGGTCGCTCTGCCTGGTAGAAACACCTTACAATCGTCCAACTCAACGAGTGGTGCTTCTCCGTATTTTCCCGGTTCAATTTGCACTCCGACAATGGGGTGTGGCACATCTAGGGGCAGTTGGCTCAGTTTCCTCAACACTTTCCTGTTGCATGACAGTCCAACATTATTGATTGCATTCAGATCCATCTAAAAAGAAAAGATTGTGGAACTGGTCTTTTCATTTCAAATGGTTGAATTATGATGTGTACACGAAAAAATGAATCGATGAAAACGCGAAATGACATTCACTTTTCAATATGAAAAACATTGAAATGAATTATGAAATGTACACACAAAAAATGGAGATATCAAGCAATAGTATTCACTTTTAGAAATGAAAACCAAAAAAGTGAATTACGGAAATTGCATCAAACATCAGGATCAAGCTTTAGTGAATATTAAAAAAAAAACTTACTTTCTTAGATATCGGCAGTTTTGGCACTACACAAGATTGCTATCAGATGTGACTAGGTGTTGATTTTATGTGGCTGTCTAACTGTAATGTGATACCTAAAAATCAGAGATCAAACAACATCAGTGAAAATCTCTTCATTTCAAATGTTTGAAATAGAATGAGTGAATTATGATGTGTACACGAAGAAATGAATCGATGAAAACACACAATGACATTCACTTTTCAATATGAAAAACATCGAAATGAATTATGATATGTACACCAACAATGAAATAATTATTAAAGAAAACATATCATGCAATAGTATTCGCTCTTAGAAATAAAAACAAAAAAATTACTTAAAGAAATTGCATTACCAGGTGAATATAAAGAAAAAAAAACTTACTTTTATTAGGTATCAGCAGTTGGCACTACACAAGATTGCTATTAGATGTGGCTATGTGTTGATTTATGTGGATGTCGAACGTTGACTGAATTTTGTCAGAGCGCTCCGCTGTTATATATCAAGGTGGTAAAATGAAAACATAATGTTTCTCACATAATATGTTGTCTTCTGATAAGAGATTGTTTTTTTCCCATTTCTTGTAAAATTTGTTTTTTCTTTCAAATGATAAACTTGTTTTTCTATTATAATATCTTCTTATCAGTATAATTTCCTGTTATTTGATTCAATTCAACTTCAATACTTATTCATATTCCCGTTCAACGCTGGGAAAAAAATCGAAACTAGCTCTTGCCTTGTTTTTTCCACTTCTTGTAAAATTTGTTTTTTTTTCTTCCAAATGATAAACTTGTTATTCTATTGTTATATCTTCTTATCACTAATTCCCTGTTATTTGATCATATTCAACTTCAATACTTATTCATATTTCCTTTTGTCGCTGGGAAAAAAATCGAAACTAGCTCTACTATGTCATATCCAAAGAGACTATTTCATATGATATTTCCAACGCATTTAGAGCGATATCTTGTAAACCTTGAGACTTTGCATATAGACAAGTTGCCATTTTTGGAATGTTCGCGAAAAATCCTTCTCTCAGAGTACCCACACTCCCCAATCCTTCAATATTCACCCCTAAAGTGGGGTGGTCTAACCGTGGGACACCCTGTATATATAATTTTCAATTTTTATTCAACTCAAACACCCTGTCACTGATGATGTCACGCCATCGCGCTCCCGCTACCCCGCTTCCCCGCTAGAACACAGGCCGCGTTCCAGTTAAGATTAAAGCATGTATTTCCCTATGCTGATAGTCGTGCTCTCTTCGTTTTAACTACTAGCCTAGGCTGAACTTCGCCCTTCATCAATGCATCATCAAACACTCCCAATCTTGATGCAATTTGTAGTTTGTAATTTGTAATTGATGAATAAAGACCATTATTATTATTATTATTATTATTATTATTTGTTTAATAGTAGTGATGGACACACGGATTAGGAGATTAGGTACTTGAGTGCCAAAAATCTTATGTGTTAATCTTTACCTAGAGAGCATGCTGAGGCTAATTTATTTTACCTCCCACGGGAGGAAATATTTTTTCCTCCCGTGGGAGTGAATTGACAGGTTTGTGTCCTCAAATGAGGGAACAAACGCTAACTTTCTTTGCAGTGAGTAGATAAAAAATATTGACCATCATGTAGGAATGTTATGATAGATATTCAACCAAATATCAGGAGCTCTCGGAATTTGCATATTTGTCGTACAGACCATACCTCTTGTTATGACTATTCCATAAGTTTTCAGAACTAATTTATATTTCGATAACGGTGTCAGATAAGTATAGGGAATTATTGAGGAAACTTGAAGTGAAATCAATGTTGAATTAGAGAATGCGATGATATACAGGGTGGTTTATTTCAGAAACTTCACTTCTACTTTTCTTAGTCACAAAATTATCTTGATTTTTTTCCACCCTGTGTGTTATGATGGAGATTTATCTATGAACTGAAGCAGTCGGGTTCCACCTCCTCGTTGCCAGATATCAGCTCTAGAATAGCTCGGATAATGAAAATATTATTATATTTATTATATAAATAGTGATTCACACGAGACCAACGAAACGAGACTTTCCTGAAGTCCCTGCTCGTCTCGCCGATGAAATTCGAAGTCTTGTCTCGAGTCTCGTCTCGCAGCCTCGAGTCTCGTATTGTCTCGCGTCTCGTACGAGAGTATCGCAAAATATATCGCAATTTCGTTATGAATAATCTCGTTCCAATCTAGAACGGAATATTCACCTTTACCTACTCTTTAGGTATGATGTTGAAGTAGGAAGAACAAAATCACAACAAATATAACATTATTTCGAGCATTATTTATTGAAAAGTAAGTACCTAATAGGTACATACTAAAAGGCGATAGGCGATGCAACCGTGGCGTCGGCGGTCCGTCAAAACAAAGTTATTCTCAATCTTAGACTATTCAGCACAGATTGACTTATTCATAGATTATCAGGTAGTCATTCAATTTGCGATCTGTCGTTATTGCAGAATTGCCTTTATATTCCGCCGCCAACAATCATGGATTGTGTTTACAAAGTATTTATAAATGAAATGATTTGTCTATCTGTGCTAAATGGTCTGAATTCTTTTTGAATATGTTGTGTATTATGAATGAAATTCTCAAGTCTGCAGTCGGCACGCAGAAATATTCACCTGCGAGACTCTCGCACGATCGAGACAAGAGAAGTCTTGTACGAGACTCGAGACGAGACCAACAAAAATCTTGTCTCGTCTTTTCCGAGTCTCGTCTCGAGTCTTGTCCCGAAAACAAGACGAGACCATGCGAGATTCTCGAAAACGAGACTCTCGCGAGCACCACTAGTTCAAAAATCTTCGAAATTGATAATTTCGAAAACAGCTTCAGATAGGTATGAGAAATTATTAACCCTGATCTAAAGTCAAAGTAGATTCTGTTTCTTCCTGTATGAAATCTGAATCAGTGAAATCTATATCAAATTCACCAATAGACTCTCGCCTTTGCGCCTCCAATGAACAGCTGCCGTTAGCAGTGGACTAATAGAAAAAAATTTCGTTTCCAGATAATTCACAAGGTGTTCCCATTGAAAAAACCAAGTTGCTACTCCTTCTCGATACACGTGGCAACAGTGTATGAATGGGAACATTTCAGACAGATGGAGATTGTTTGATTATTGATGCGTTTTAATTTTCAGAATGATCTGTCATTCCATTTTCCAGATACTTCTGATACGCCATCCACCGTGAATCATTCTATATATGCTGTATGATATCAATGTATGGTGATAATGTTCTCGAACAATTCTTTTTTGCGACATTATGTCTCATACAACTCCTCTCAACGAATTATTTCGATTGCAGTTTGTGATTTCTGTGAAGAAGAATACCTCGACGTGTGCTCGAAATGCGGCGGCCTGGTCTCGCTAGAAGAAAACCCCGTTCCAAGAGGCACCGAAGATCGCGCCATGAAAACGGCCCCGAAAGGCGTCCTCGAGGTGCGCCGATCTGAAATCCACGGTTTTGGGGTGTTCGCCTTGAAAAATCTGAGGAAAGGGCTCCGTTTGGGGCCGTACGACGGGAGTATCACCAGAATTGATACCCAAAACGGATATGCTTGGAAAATGAGGGATGGACGATTGGTGAGATTTTCAGATTTTATTAATTATTACTAGATTTTCGTATAGTTTACAACAGTGTAGCGACAAATTATCGCAGTTTTGCTGTTTGACGGTGTCAATTTTTGAAAAGAACATTTCAAAGTTGTTTTCCTAAAAGTCGAAACAATGGCACTATCTCGGCGTCCTTGAATGAGGACAGCGTTTTTCTTCTCTTCCTATACCATACTGTTGATATATTAGGAAACATATTACCGAGCATATTACCGAACTACTGAAGTTAGTGAGTTGGTTCACGAAAACACTAATAAACAATTTCAAAACTATTGAAGGAACTGTAGCTGGTTATTATAGTGTGCACTTTGCTCCTCATGAAGGTAGAGACAACTGGTTCCTTTTCTATAACGTGAAGTGCGGTCGAATTATTGCATGACTATGACTTATTGTCGCTTGTATCTTGTGGGATTTCAACAAAACATCAGAATTTTAACTCTGGTGTATTGAAAGAAAACATTCAGCATGTTTCTCATCATTCTCCAGTGCAGTTCAGTTCATCCAGACCATAAGCCAGCTTTGGAGCAGCTTCCTTCTCAAGCACGGATTTTCGTAGGTCGTTACGCTAGTTCTCAAAGGTCCTTGTATGTTGAATTCTGAGAGGACCTTTCTTCTCAACTTCTGAATATTTTATGTACTGAGCTAGTGCGTAATCTAAAGGAGTGGCACAAAAGTCTGTTTAAATGAACGACTCTTGGTTTGTCAATTGGGACACTTTTCTTTTACTTATTGTACAACCACACTAGTTCTGCTTCTGCGTAGCCAGCACACCTAGCTTTGAGTTCGTATCGGTCCTTCATGCGATCGTTGGCGATTATCGTTCATCTTCTCCCTCAAACTCACTATGTGATTTTCTCCCACAAACTCATCAGACAGGGTGTTTCAAAATTCGACAGACAACGCTTGACAGGTGATTGCTCTTGTGATTCCATAATTACTAACACAGGAACATATGGTCTCCGAGTGTTCAGTTCTCGAGAAACAGGGTGTGGTAGTTGAGAAATAAAAATAGTTATTTCGCAAGAATAATAGAATATTTTGCATTCAAATTCGGTATACGGTTTCATCTTCGAATGGGTAATGTTTTTACCAGGAATTCATTCCGAACATTCTATTCAGTGGTGCGCAACAGGGGGTTCTGGAAGCGTTTCCACCGATATTTTTGATGCCACTGATGATATTTCGATAATTTTCAATTTCTCGAATTCATTGTTTGATTCTGCTCGAAAAATTCATCACCTCCATTTGAGTTGAAATAAACAGTTTCAGAGATATTTGACCCAAAATAGAGAATTACTACATACATACTAATTTTTCATCATTTTCAGTAGTATGAAAATGTTTGTTTCTTCTTTCTGCATGAAATAACAATTTCTGTTTGGCTACAGAATGATATCTGAAAAGCATCTGATCTATTCACCAACAAAATTTTTTTTGTAATTTGCTACTACTGAAAATGATGAAGAATGACTATATTTTGGGTCGAATATCTCGAAAACAGTTGATTTTAGCTCAATTGAGGGTGATCCATTTCTTGAACAAAATTGAACGATGAATTCGCGAAATTGAAGATAATCGCAGTGGCGTAAAAAATATGGGAGGAAAAGTTGCCACAACTCCCTGTTACGCCCCACTGGATAAAATCTCCCAAATGACATTCTATTCAAAAAATCAAACATTCAAAGATGAAACCATATACCGAATTCGTATACAAAATACTCAACCATTATAGGGTTATTGCGAATACCCCATTTTTATTTCTCAACTTCCACACCCTGTATCTCGAGTACTGAACACTCAAAGAGCGTATGTCCCTACTCAGTAGTTATGAAATCAGAAGGAGTATCACCTGTCAAGCGTTGTCGGTCGAATTTCGAAACACCCTGTATAATCTTCTCCCACCACGGTCTCACCAGGTCTGCATTTGAACACCAATTCACAGTAAAGCTTCATGTCTTGTCCAAACGGCACCTTTTCTGGAGTCTATCATCAATCAAAGATGTAGATGTCGGTTTCAGTCTCGTTGATGTTCATCCACGATTATACAGGAATAATAACTTCCTATATACAGGATGAGTCATTACTAACCAGGCATTGCCCAAAGGCGGTTGAAGGAAGTCAAAGTGGGTTGTTATATACGTGTAAAAATAAATTATGCCTATATTCGTAACAGAAATACAGGATATTATTTGAATTTGGGGCGAGACTTCGATGAACGATATTTCAGGAACGTATCTATGTTTCGCTTGAAATCCACCAGCAATTTACCTCTACTGACACACCACACACCGACCTATTATAGAAGGAAATATTCCAGAGCCGGACTCAGAATACTCATTTTCTTTTCGAATGTCAAAATTTCGACTTTCTAAATCGTATTTTTCATAACTTTCATCAGAATCAGAAAGCTCAGAAAATACACCACGAGTGTAGATTTTTGATTTGTACGGCACACGTTTTGGTGACTATCAAACAAAATTCAGATGAATATTTCTTTGATTTCGTCCGGGACATCAATCTATACATTCGACTAACAGTATTATTCGAATCAGTTTTTTTGCATAATAATGTAGCAGCAGAGTTGAGAGAAGGTATTATTGAGAACAAAAAATCAGGAGCGGACTTTGTTTTTCGAAAAAGTTACAAAACATCATAATTTTCGGAATAGATGTATCTGTATCCTGTAATATTTTTCGACGAAGATTCTCAAAATGTCCTTCAATTTCTATACAGTTTTTGTATACCTTCGAAAGATCTTTTTTTTTCAATGATTTGCCAATTATTTTTCATCAGATCTGAAGCTGTGACAATCTTCTCTCTCATTTTCTCTCTGGTATTGAATACAGTTCGATAGACCAAGCGTTACATATGTCACTATAGATAATAGTCAGATACTGTGAGATAAGGGGACATAGGGGGTCAAGAATGATAGGGGGTCAAGAATGATGGCCGTCACGATATATCCAGCCATTATAGAATTGTTTGTCTAGGTATTCTCCCACTTGTATTCAGTAATGTGGACGTGCCTCATCCTGTTCAGAGAAAACACCTATTTCAATCCATTTCCATACATCCTCGCATCACAGCCTTTTTTGTAGTGTTTTCTGAATAATGAAAACTAAACCAAACGCACAATTTCATTCTCTGATTCATAAAGTACACGTACAATGAGATCATACTCATGCTTCAATATTACCTCAGAATTTTTTATTTGTTTGAGTTGGAACGTATATCCGATTCGTACAAAATATTTTACCGAAGAAATAATTTTCCATATCTTTTTATTTCTTGGAGCGAAGGAGAGGAAATCCGTATAATATTCGAAGAATATTGTGCGTACCTAGGGAGGATAGGGAGAGGAGGTAGGTATTGAGATTTAAAAAAAAAATAGGTACTTATTTCCATGTTTTGAAGGGTCTCTTCAAGAAAAGTAAGTCCGTTCCTGGAATTTTTCATCGAATAGAGCCCATTTCAACTCATTCAATATACACCGATATGCAAGAAATGGATTCAAATGAGTTTGTTGAACGATGTGACTACAATAGCCAGTACGAAATCATGGAATCGTTCATCATTATTTTGATCGATATTTCGTCACCAATCCGGTCGAAGTGTGCCGTACAAATTGAAAAGATTCACTTGTATTGTTTTTTCTGATCTTTCTGATTCTGATGAAAGTTTTCGAAAAATACGATTCAGAAAGTCGAAATTGTGACATTTGGCGAGGAAATGAGTTTTCCAAGTTCGACTCTGAAATTTTTCTCCATAGTAGTTCATCGTGTGGTTTGTTAGTAGAGGTAGGTGGCTGGTGAATTTCAGGGGATAACATCGAGACGTTCCTGAAATATCGTTCATCAAATTCTCGCGAAGAATTCAAATAATAGCTTGTATTTCTGTTAGGAATAGGCAGAATATATTTTCTCCAATATATATCAACTCACCTTGACTACCTTCATCTGCCATTGAGCTATGGCTGGTTAATTATGATATGGTTCGGATAATGCGATCCACTCTCGAAGTTGCGGCTTTGATCAGAGTGAAGTTTCGATGGCACTCTAAACCGACCGATGAGTTAGTCCAGTAAGATCGGTGACACGTTACGTTAGGACATATGGTCATCATGGAACCCTGGAACTATGAAGAGGAGGTCGGACGAGAATCTATGATATCCAGCGTATGAATTGTGAACTTTGTAAAAACGATGGAACTTACATTGTTAGAATATCAGACGAACTGAGTTAGTATATTTTGAGAGAAATACATACGAGTTTTCATGACGTTGAGTTCAACCAAGTGGATATTTTAGTGGTATCTACATTGACGGGTTGATATGTGTTCGCCGTGGAATGGAATGAGAATTCTTGGAGGAAACGCAGTAGTGTCATCTGTAGTTCTGTGGATAGGGCAGGTTGTAACTCCCAATAAGTCATTGCTATGTGAAAGGAACAATGTCTCACAATAAGCCATGCATTGGCAGCTTATTGTTGGGTTCCAAACGTGATCAAGAACTTATGATATCTACGAATCTACAGGGTGTCCTGAAATAACATTGAATGATCTCAACCACAGATCGTATAGGGACAAAAATAGTGAAAAAAGTGCATATCAAGATTGATCTATCAATTGCTGGAGGTTTATAGCCATCTGAAGGGGAGCCCAACATGATGGTTTTATGTGAATATTTTCGAATCCATTTGTGATGAAATAATAAAATGTTGCACATGTACCTTACTTCTCATAACCGATTTGAAGATGTTATGAACTTTCCTAAATTTTGATCAGGAGAGTCGGAAATAGATGGGGCCTGGGCACTTTTTTCCCCAACTTTCTTGTTCATGCAATTTTCGGCAGTTCAACCAGGAAATATTTAAATTTCAAAATGTTCACTTGAAAATGGTACTCCTGTTCAGTTTCGATAGCATTCACCATTCTCGATATGAATCGATTCAATAAATCTGTTGCGTCATAAA